GCAAGGACTTTGGCTGTAACTGCCAAACCAGCTTCAAACCAGGAGGAAATGACAGTGAAGCCAGTTGAAGTGATTGTTACAACAAGGAGGACAATGTCAGCTGACAAAGAGACTGTGCCACACAAAAGGAAGACTGCTGTGAGGAGTGTTGAGCCTGAAAGAATGGGTGGTAACTCCAATAGCAGTAAATTAGATTGGGTCCACAGGACAGTGGCTGACTGGGCTGATGGCTTTAGGCCTGGAGTAAAAGGAGTGCCATTTGATCAGTGGGAAGATTATGCCGTAGAGGAAGAGCGAGGTCTTAGTGACATCCTGAAACAGAATAGTTGGTACCGCTGGGTTCAGTTTGCAGGACAGCTCAGTGGGAAAGAAGACTGTTACATTTCCAGACTCCAAACATTTAATCTCAAAATTTGTAGACCGTTCCGGTCTCCTCTGATTATCTTCGTGAATCCTGGGCAAAAGATTTATATGCAGATGTGCCAGTGGAGCTTTGGGAAAAAGCCATGAGTCTGGTTCATTCTTGTTTCATTAATACCCGCTACAAACTTATTCAGTATAAGGTAATTCACAGGCTGCACTACTCAAAGACAAAACTGAGCCAGATCTTCCCATCAGTGTCCTCTCAATGTGATAAATGCAACTCTGCAGAGGGTTCTTTAGCTCATCTCTTTTGTTTTTTTTGTTTGGATTTTAGTCTGCCATTTTCAAATGGTTTTCTAAATGCTATTACAGGGACATCAAACCTAATCATGATCTGGCAATATTTGGATGCTCCACAGAGGCTCTTGGACTTACGTCTGACATGCAGACAGCTCTGCAGCTTGGGATGGTGGTTGTGAAAAAACTTATACTGTTGACTTGGAAATCCACTACCCCACCCAGCTTTGAATATTGGCTAAAGGAAATGGTGTCTGTGATACAAATGGAATGCTTTCACCTGGAAAGGCCCGGCAAACAAAATGGACATGAGAGAATCTGGGGGCCCTTCTTGACTCAGTGCCATATCACCCCCAACCCATGATGACCAGGGCACTATACACTGACATCAAAATATTACAGTGCTGTGAATGTGCAATCAGAGCATGATTACTATGGGTCAGTTGCACCTAACCATCACTCTGTCTGGCAGTCTTTTGCTTTCTTTTTGTTTGTGCTTTTTATTTCTAGTGTAGTGTTCTTGTTGTCTGTAAACTGAAAATTGAAAAAACTTAAACATAATATAAAAAAACAAACAAACAAAAAAACTTCTTCCTGCTCTGGGACTGTTCCTGTCACTGGCATGCTTTCCTTTGAGAGTAACACTTCTCCATCCATCCATTTCTGGCTTGTTTGTTGTCTCCTTGGACTCTTCTTCTTTGAATAGTGGACATTCAAGTAGTTCTTGTAAATATTCTTGTTGTGGTGGGACTTCCAGTTGTAAAGAGACAGTCTGTTCGATGGTGCTCTGCAGCTCTTCCTGTAAGGTCATTTCTGACACCAGGTAATCAAAGGTCAGCACTGCTTCAATGGCTTGTATTTCCTGGCCCTTTTCCTGGTTTTCTCCGGGACCCATTTTTACAGCTTCGCCAACAGCATATAAGGTAGTTAAAATTAGCTTTGCCTTTACTCAGTAACACATCAACAATCCAAATTCAATAATACGATGTAACGTTACATAAATGTAAACTGTGCCATTTTGCATGAGTACTTTTGCCACTTTAAGTATGCGTATATCATATATATACTATATATATATCATATATATACTCTATATGATATGGTGAATAGTTAAATATTTCCAAAGTTTACATAGGAAACTGATCATTTAGCGGTGTATGTGTTCACCACACTGTTATTTGGAAGTATTTTCTCTTCTTTAGTCTCTGTGCTTCAGCATATTCAATTTGAAATAAAATTATGGATATTACATTTACATCCCATGTTTCAGCTTTAAATGTGTAGATTTTATTTAGTGAAGGGCAATTAAAGTAAATTAAAACCCTGAATGCTTTATTTAAAATAAGCATACATATCACTTCTCCTACAGAACAATACAGAACAGTACAATCACGTTTTGTAATAACACATTTAAAATGTAAAATGGCTTCTGGCAAACTGCCTGCAAGCAAATAAAGTTCCTACTTTGGCTTCTTACAGTGAGAAAAGAAAAAAGAGAAGCCTGAAATACTCAGAATAAACAAACTAAAGAAAGTTGCAGAAGCAGAAACTAAAACTAAAAATCTGTGTGACTCAAGTGTGTGTGACAGTGGTAGTGTACCACTAGTTTGTGTGTTCTGTGATGGAAGAATTGAAGCTGGTGATGGCTGCGATGGTGCCTGGGCAGACAAACAGGGTTCCCACAGTCCTTACAGTCCTGCAGTTATTGTCCAGCACTGAAAAGCAATTCATTCAACTAAGTTTTCTGATAAGCAGAATCTGTTGACACAGTCTGGAAACATGTCACAGCAAAAAGCAGACTGACTTCAGATTTTTGCTGCACTGTGGTTTGTGAATCTCAAAACTAATTTTGTGTTACCAGGTGTAAATGTATATTACAACAGTAGTGCAGTCAAAAAATTTTGGTATGAAGCTTTGCAAGAGTAGCTGAAACCTTTTTTGAATTTGGCAGTAAAACAGGCATGGGAACCCTGAAAAACAAACATTCTTGTTTGCCATTTTGTACATAGCCTTATAATACATGCTATAACATACAAATATACAGCACCTATTACATTAAATATATCAGGCAAGATTGTTCTTTTGACTCTGAAAGGAACCACTTTGTAGAAGTTCAAAACTATGTTACACTTGTGTGATTGCATACACTCCATAATTTTGTTACTGTCCCCTCAGCTCACTAGTGATATGTTGAACTTCAAAGACAAGACTGGTGATTTTCTTTGTTTGAGTCAATTTCCAAAAATCCCTCACAAAGATTAAATCCAGTGATGAATTTGGTGTACTCATTGTAATGTCTGTGAATCCAAAACCTAGCTAAGTTTACTGGTCTGTGCCGTAGACCCCCTTTGCTGCAAGGTTGAGTCTTTCTTACTTAAGAGAACATAAAAAGTGATGGCTGTAGCCTTTGGAGCACTTTTTGAGAAAAAATATGGGCCTCACATTTTTTTGCAAGAAAG